AATGCGGAATGACGTGGACCTGCCCACACGCTAGAGGAAGGGGAGGAGTGCCTGCCGTATGCATTCTAAGGAGGGTGGGGCGCAGGTGGCAACCTGGAGCAGCCCATTCCAGTGGACAGGGCGTGGGGGTATGTGTATCTGGATCAGTCCATCCTACTGGGCGCAGGGATTTTGAACCAGGCTATTCTAGTTTTTTGGGGTGGGGGAGATCATTAGGGTCGATCCATTCCTTAGTAGGGGAGGGAGACCTAATTGGGGAAGGGGTTGAGGGCAGGGGGCAACTACCCTGGTCCTCTTTCCGCATAGGGAATAAAGTCGGGGGAGGGGAGAGGCAGATTCCGGCTATATCCTTTATCTGGGGGCACCAGTGACTCTGGTGGGTGGCATTGGGAGGGGATCCAGGGAAATCCGGGGACATGGCTCCCCCCCCCATTCTCCGGATCAAGGTCGTCGGAATGATGGCTCTTAGGGAGAGGGCCAGTCTTCCCTTGGGGGAGGGGTGCCCATCTTTTATTATTTGGGCCCGCAAGATGAGAAGTACTTGTGGAGACCCATTTCTCCCGCAGCTTAGGAGCCTGTTGATTTGGGGTGCTCAGCACGCATTCCAGGGGCCTGGAGCTGAGGAATCTCTCCGTTTATTCGCTGCCCCCCAGCTCAGGGGCCCGTGTCTGGGTCTGGAGGGCCGGGGCCTCCCTCGTGGTCCCTAGGTCCCTTGGCCCGGGCCCTGAGTCCAGCCCTCGGGAGGGGTGGTCTAGCGGAGGGGCGCACGGCCTGGCCACGTCAGTCCATGCCCCGGTGCAGCTTCAGGTGCCTGGAGAGGTTGCTGAGCGTGATGAAGCCCTTGCCGCAGATGTGGCAGGGGAAGGGCCGCTCGGTGCCGTGCAGCAGCCGGTGGCGCTTGAGGTAGCACTCGTGGCGGAAGAACTTGCCGCACTCCAGGCACGGGAACGGCTTCTCGCCCGTGTGCACCAGCACGTGCCGCTCCAGGTCCCGCGGCGAGCGGAACAGCTTCTCGCACTCGGAGCAGCCGAAGATCTTCTTGCCGCGGCCCGAGCCGGACGCAGGCTCCCCAGACGCGGGCTCCCTCTCCGGGGCGGGCGCCGCCGCCTCCTCCGCACCGCCGCCCTCGCCGTGGCTGGCGCGCCGGTGCTCCTCCAGGGCCGCCAGGGCCGCGTAGAGGGCCCCGCAGTGGCCGCAGCCGTAGGTCGCGGGGCGCGAGTGCGCCTCCAGGTGGCTGGCCAGCGCCGCCGCCGACGCGAAGAAGGTCCCGCAGTCGCACTGGTAGAGGGTGTCTTCCGACGGCTCGGCCGCGGCCGCGGGCGCAGGGGCCTCCCCGCCGCTCTCGGGGAGCAGGCCCCCCAGCTCGGGCACGCCGCCCCCGGCGCGGCCCAGGAGCAGCCTGCCGTCCCAGGCCGGCTGAGCCTCGCCCGCCTCCGCAGCGCCGCCCTCGCTGGCCGTCTCGGGCACGGCGCCAGCCCCGGAGACCCAGGCCTGCGCGGGGGGCGCGCCCGGTCCCTGCAGGTCGTGGGTCAGCTTGTGCCTCTCCAGCAGCGCGGGGGCGTTGAAGTCGCGCTCACAGCGCGGACACTTGAAGGGCTTCACGTCGGTGTGCGCAGCCCAGTGGGCTGCCAGCTCGCGGCCCTGGTCGAAGCGCCGCGCGCAAGCACCGCACGCGAACGGGGGCAGTGAGGCCGCCGCCGCGGCCGCCGCCTCCGCCAGCCCCCAGCTCCCCGGGCCCGCGCCTGCCCCCTCTGGGCCCTCTCCGCCGCCAGCCCCCGCGCCCCCGCACACCGAGCAGGGCCCCACGTTGCAGCAGACCGAGCAGGGAGCGCTCAGGGCGGGCAGGCCTGGGCCGGGCTGCAGGGGGGACGGGAGCACCCCACGGTGCTGGCGCTTGAGGTGGCGGCCCAGGCTGGAGCGCGAGGAGAAGCGGAGCTCGCAGACTAGGCAGCAGTAGGGCTTCTCGCCAGTGTGGACGACCTGGGAGGGCAGGAGGAAGAGCCCAGCGTCAGGGCTGAGGGTCTAGCCCGCGGGGCAGATTTTTGGCCTCCCAGAGAGATGCGGAGGAAGCTCCCTGCCAGGTCCACAGGGCCAAGATCTAGCTTCAACCCTCTCATTCTTGTTCTCTGCTTCCGGCCACGTTAGCATGCTTTTGGCCCCTCCAGCCTCAGGATCCTTGCACTTGTTGTTCCCTTTGCCTGGAATGCTGTTCCATGGTGGATTCCTGCTCTTCCTTCAGGCCTCAGCTCAAATATCACCTTGCCCTGACCTCCCCCTCCCCCACCGTGTGGTAGCCCATAGCTCTCCCCTCTTTACTCCTACATATCAGATGGTTATTATTGCCGTTGTTTTAACTTCCTTCCCAACGCTTCTCCTTTCCCAGATCATCCTTGCCTGTGTATCTGCTTTCTTGCTGATTGTCTACCTGGCTATGGACCACTCGCAATGGAATGTAAGTTCTCCGAAGGCGTGGACTTTATTGATTTCACCTTGGCATCCCAGGTGTTGGGAGCAGGGAAAACATTCAATAGGTAATTGCTGAGTAAAGGAATTAAGTACATACGTGGTAAATCTATGTTTAAAAATGGTAACGGAATGATGAGCACAAAGTTGCAGACGCTGGCATATGAGAAGGGGCATGGGAGAGGGGAGGTGCATAGAAGTGGGGCAAATTTACTATGAATGTTTAAGTTCCTGGGTTGGGTGGAGCCTGAAATAGAAACAACTCATGCTTTGACTGGTCAGGGTGCTTCGATGAAGAGGGAAGGAGGGAGGGAGGGAGATAGAAATTTTCTTAGGGGCCAGCTGTCTGTTGCCCATAGTGGGTCCCCGGGGCTCCAAGGGCGAGTCCAGCCCAGGGGGGCCAGCTGTCTGTTGCCCATAGTGGGTCCCCGGGGCTCCAAGGGCGAGTCCAGCCCAGGGAGGCCAGCTTGGGGCCGGCCTGCAGGACTCACCTGGTGGTGCAGCAGGCCGGTGGAGTCTCGGAACCCCTTGGGGCAGGCGGAGCAGCGGTAGGGCCGCTCGCCGGTGTGCGAGCGCAGGTGGTTGGCCAGGTTGAAGCTGTGCTTGAAGCCTTTGCCGCAGCGCGGACACGCGTGAGGTTTGAGCGCAGTGTGCCGAGCGAAGTGGCGCCGCAGGTCCGAGCGGTAGCGGAAGCTCTTGCCACACTCACTGCAGTGAAACGGGACGCGGGGGGCAACAGCGGGCGGAGCCGGGGCAGGGACCGGGGTCGCTGGCAGCGGGGCGTCATCCATGGTGGCGTGGTGCGAGGGCAGTGGCGGGTGGGGGCTCTCTCTGGAGCGGGGAGACATGGAGTGGGGTAAGGGGGCCACGTCCCCATCAGCCTCCCCCTATCAGGCTCCTTGGACTCACAGACCTGTGAGGCCCGGCCTACTACCTTATAAGCCATACCCATCTACCCAAGCCACACCTACTGCTCTTTAAGCCCCTCCCACTCTCCTACAACCCCTTCCACCACTCATCTAGCTTCCTAATCACTTCCAAGTCACTTCTAAGCCACTGAATGCTTTCAAGCTCTCCCCTTCTTTGTGAATGAACTCCCGCCCCGCTCTAAGCCCCGCCGAGTGTGGTTAAACCCCGCCCACTCGTGTTCAGGTCCCGCCTACCCCTTCCAAAGTCTCCATGTTGTTCCTGAAGCCTCTTATATTCCTTGACAAGCCCCTTCCCCTCTGAAAGGCACTCCCACTCTTTTTTGAAGATGAAAGTCATCTTCAGATGAAGATTGACGACAATCTTAGCCAGTGACAGTATGAAAATTTGGGGCTAAGCGCACCTGAGTCAACCTTCCAGGGAGACCAGGCCTAGTCCTGGAACCTTGGATAAAGCCAACTGATTCTCTTTCCATCTGCAAAATAGGAATAATGGGAGAACCTACCTCATGGAGTGGTGGTGAGGACTAAGCAAACTTGTGGCCATGCGTGCGGCGTGCTTACTGACGCCTGTGCACAGCAAAGACTCAACAGGTAAGCTGTTTTGATTACCACTATCTGCAAAGCTCCTCCGAGTTTCCTCTTGAAGTCCCCCATCTCTTCCTCACTAAGATCCGCCTCCTAAACCCCACTCAAGTTTTCCTTTAAACTCAGCCTTTAAGTAAACCCCTTCCTTTCCAAGACCACCTGCCACTCTACCTCTCTTGCCATCTCAGCCCTTCCTCGCTGACACCCTCCTCATCCTAAGTCATTTCACCTGCAATATAAAGACTTGCTATTTCCACTACGACGCCCCAAATTACACGCTTAAACCCCACCCCCTCACTATGTCCACCACTTCCTGAAAGCCACATCCCTAGACAAACTCCACCCCTTCTACTCTAAGCTCCTCCCACCTCCACACTGAACCCCTTTACCCCCCTCAGCCCCAATTAGGACCCTTCAACCTAGGGCCCTCCTACCATTCTCACTGAGCCACGCCCCTTTGTCAAACCTCACCCCTTTGCCTAAGCTCCTCCCACTTTCTACCCACAGTCCCGCCCATTTCCACTCTAAACCACGCCCACCCATTGCTCCGCCCCAGCCACCACTAAGCCCCGCCTCCTCCCCACCCAGTCGCCCGCGGGACTGAGCCCCCCTCCCCAGTCAGCTCGAGGACCCAGGCCCCTAGAGTCGGCCTTTTGTACCCCTCCCCCCTGTCCCTAAAAGGTGCGGCCCCGGGCGCCCGGGGCGGGGGCAGGTCAGGCTAGACCCGCAGTCGGGCGAGTCCACCTTGCTCGTACGGAGCGGGGGTTCTGGAGCCCTGAGGCGGCCCCGGGAGGCCGGGAAAGTCAGTCGGCTTTCCTCTTTAATTACTTACACCTCCCTCTGGGCGCCGACATTTTGGGCAGCGGGGGTAGCGTCACTTCCACCCGGGGGGCCCCTCGACTTCCGCCTCGGCTCCCTTCTCCCCCGCACTCCCCCTTTCTCCCGCCTTCTTGGCTTCCCTCCTCCCCGCCGCCCTCCCTTCTCTCTCTTTCCCGTCCCTTTCCCAGCTACTGGAGGTTCGAGAAGCCAGGGTGGCGCCATCTTGGGTGAGGGCATGGAGAAGGGGCGGGGTTTAGGGTGGCCCCCGGCGCCATACAGACTAAGGGCAAAAAGCTCAGCGCGCGCGGCCTCTTCCCTGCGGTATCGACGCTGGCGGGTGTTAACATAGATGAGGGCTGACATGATTCCCTTTTCGCAGCCTCAGGCTCCTCCTGGGTAGGATGTAGAGTTGCATCAGGAGAAGAGAGAAATCGAAGTTCGCTGATCTGCGATACAGATAGGAGGATAGAGCAGGCTCCATCTTGTGCTTAGGCTTCCCGTGGGCTTTGAAGCTAATCAGGCGCCATGTTAATTACGGGAATGAGGGGCCATTTTCCCGCTCTTTATCCTTTCGGTACCTTTCTTTGATTGGGTCACCCGGCTGGGTGCTTTGTGGGAGGAAAGACATTTCTATGTGTTTGGGATGTGTTGGTGGGGTAATTTCCCGTTCGGGGCTAGCGAGGGCGACGGGTGCGCAGGCGCGGTTTGCCGACGGGGATATGACCGGCTCTTAGGACCCAGCGGGTCCCCTTTGTTCCCCGCGGGCGCGGGCCCGACGGGGAGGGGGAGGGGAGGGAGGGGCCGACCGGCATCCGCTCCGAGGGGCGGGGCAGTCCCGCGCGCGCGCGCCGCCGAGGGGCAGGGCCCCCTCGCCCCCGCCCTTTCCCACGCGCCGGCCCCGCGCCCCCGCGCGCGCACACCCGCGAGTCCAGGCGACATGCAAATGAGGTACCCGAGAGGCGGGGGGCCCGGGTGGGGGGAGAGGAGCGGAGGGAGGGGAGGCCCGGGGCCGCGCGCTCCTGGAGCGCGCCCCCCACCTGCTTCTGCTCTTGCGCTCGCTGAAGCGCGCGCGCCGACCTCGCGCCCCGCGGAGCCGGCCCGCCTGGGCGCGCGCGCGCAGACCCCCTTCCTGGCGGCCCTCGCCGTCCGCGGCCCGGCGCCGTTCATTGGCCGCCGCCCCCGCAGGGCCCGCCCCGCGCGGTCGGTGCTCACGGGCGCGCGCCTGCACCGGGGTGGAGGAGGGCGGGGGTCAGGGGCACCGTTCCAGAGACCCGTGTTCTAGTCCAGGCAACCCCAACCGAGCGAGCCGTGTGATCATGGAAAAGTGGCTGCCGTTCTCTGGACCTTAATCTGTGTGCTTGTTCCAGTGGGGTGCAGTGGCACCTGTAACCCCTAATCCTAACTGCACCTGTGCTCTCCTCCCCCTCCACTTTATTACTCCCCAGTCCCATGGTGGTGTTCGTGATGGTAGTTCATTTGGTGCTTACTATATATATGCCGACCAACAATCCTGCTGTATCCATTTTACAGAGGTGGAAACTGGCTCAGATAGGCAAAGCCACTTGTCAATGAACGGTAGAGCTGGATTCAAGCGCAGGACTAAGGGACCTGTGATGTCCCTTGGGTCCATTACTTCCCACTCCCTGGGCCGTTGGGGTCCATGAGATTAAGTCTTGGCCCTGCCACGTACCGCCAGAGGGAGCTGGGGCAACTGATTTCACTTTCCTGTGCCTTGGTTTCCCCATTTGCAAAATGGGCGTGATATACCCTTATTCAGAGAGTTGGTGTGAGGCTTAGCTGCTCACCGTGATAATAAGAGCTAGTATCTCCTAAGCACTTCCGTGTACTGAGCACTTTATGTGCGAGTAGGTGGAAGTATTCATCCTGTTTTGCAAAAGGCTTAGCTGACGCTCAGAGAGGTGAGCACCTTGCCCAAGGGCACTACACAGAGAGTAAGTAACAGACTCAGGAATCGAACCCAGAACCTCTGGCTCCAGAGCCCACACCCTTTAACAGCTCTGATATATGTCCACATCCACAACTTAGGGGCAAACATCACCTGGGACCAATCCCTTTCTTCTTCCAGTCCTGACCCCCCTTCTCTCCCTCTGTCACTTCTGTCAGAAGGAGGGACAAAAACATTTCTGAGGCCTCTGTAGCTCTTCTGTTTGATGGGTTCTCTGTTTTGAGGATCGAAATACTCGCCTGCACCCTCAGTTGGACTCTATCCTCCTTGGAAGATTTTTCTGTATTTTGGCTCAAGTTGACCCTGAATGTCTAGGAGGGGTTAGGGAGGTCTGGGAGACACCTGTGGGGCTCAGGGAAGTGCCTGTTTACCAACTGGTACAGGATTATCTTACTATTTTACCCACTAGTGTGGTTTGTGCGTCCAAGTGAATGTTGGCCGCGCCCAGGTCGACAGACTCGGACCCAGGGATGGCGAGGATTTGGGGGACAAGGGCGCTCCATACCCTCCTGCACTGACGGCTACCCCTTCTCTCCTCTTAGCCCGGCTCCAGTGCCCAGACCCAAGCCCCCCACTGCTCAATGGACACGCCCAGCCCAGACCCGTGGCCTTCGCCTTTGCCCGGGGAAGAAGAGAAACCTCTGGCCTTACCTCCTCCTGTTCCCCGGGGCCGCCGAGGCCGACGTCCTGGGGGGGGGCACCTCCTCGAATCGGACTCTTAAGGCATCCCTTCCTCGCAAGCGGGGCCGCCCCCCCCAAGTCGGGGCAGGAGCCCCCACTGGCACAGGGGGTGACAGCCCCGGTGGGCAGCGGCGGTAGCAGTGACCTCCTGTTGATCGATGATCAGGGTGTGCCCTACACAGTCTCTGAAGGGTCAGTAGCAGGCGGGCCTGAGAGCTCTGGCCCTAAGAAGGCCCCGCACTTCTGCCCGGTGTGCCTTCGGGCCTTCCCCTACCTCTCCGACCTGGAGCGCCACAGTATCTCACACTCAGAGCTGAAGCCGCACGAGTGCAAGGATTGCGGCAAGACCTTCAAGCGGTCCAGCCACCTGCGGCGGCACTGCAACATCCATGCCGGCCTTCGGCCCTTCCGCTGCCCGCTCTGCCCCCGCCGCTTCCGAGAGGCGGGCGAGCTGGCCCACCACCACCGCGTCCACTCCGGGGAGCGCCCCTACCAGTGCCCTGTCTGCCGGCTGCGCTTCACCGAGGCCAACACGCTCCGGCGCCATGCCAGGCGCAAGCACCCCGAGGCCATGGAGGCACCCCTGGGTCCTCGGGACCCAGGACCTGAACCACCGTGGGACGACGAGGGTATCCCGGCCACGGCAGGGGCCGATGAGGAGGAGCTGGAGGGGAAAGAGCTGGCTTGACCCCCACCCCCGGCCACTGCTCCCCAGGCCAGGTTTAGAGCTGGGCGCTCAGCTGGCACTGAACCTGGGCAGGGAAACTGGGACACATTCTTGTCTGGTAGTCTTCCTGTTGTGGGAGAAGGTCGAGGGTGAGGACGTCCACTTCCGGGTCCTGCAGCCTTCTGCCACCCTCCCTCGGACTGACAGGCCTGTGGAGGCAGGGGCTGTGGAAATAAATATCTGCCTACTGGCTTCCTGTGTGTGTTCCGTGATGATCCCAGGGCTGGCGCCCCTCTTCTCCTCCCTTCAAATGTTCTTCCCCGCTGCACCACCCCCTTGTCATGTGCCTCGTTAGCTTGGCGCTAAAGACTGGCTTGGGGGAAGACTTTGACGCTTCTCCCATCTCCAGTGGACCTCAAAGCACTCCCTCTAAAGATCCACTCTTAACATTGAACCTTCTGTGCAAACGTGACTCTAGGTCCCCCGCCAACCCCCGGCGCCGTTCTAACCAGATTCCCGGAAATTCTGCAGCCATCACTTTGGCCCATCTCTGTCCTGGCACTGTTTGCAGAGAAACACTGAGTTGAGGGTTGTGTGCGGGAGTAACCACTTTGGTAGGGCCGGAGGGGCGGGGCTAAGGACTCATGAGGCGGGGCTGAGGCTGAGGGGCGAGGCTTGTAGGGCAGTTAGGTGAGAACTGTGGGCAGGGCTGGCTGAGAGCTGGCTTGGGGCTTAAGGAGGTGTAAGGGTTGACGGGCAGAAATTGAGAGCATTTAGAGAATGGATAGCGTTTATCTGAGGGGAGGGGTTTCAAGGGGAAACTGCAGGAGAGCAAGGTGTTAGGAGAGGTAGGACTTGAACTGTTAAGATGCTGAGCGGTGGGTATGACTGCTATGCAGGCCAAGGGGAGAAAAGGGGGTACCTAAGAGGAGTAACGAAGGAAAGCCCCTGAGGGAGGGGGCGCTTAGGAGGAAGAGCTGAATAGAATCGGGCTTAGCTGCTTGAGGTGGAGCCGAGTTAGGGGCGAGGTTTACAGAGAGTGTACGAGAGGGACCGTGTAAGGTGTGGTAAAGCTGTGGTTCGAAACTTCAGCCTGCATCAGAATCACCTGAAGGGTATTTTAAAACCCAGGTCCTTAGGCCCTACCCCCAGGGTCTCTGATTCAGGAAGTCAGAGGCAGGGGGATCTGAGAATTTACATTTCTAACAAATTCCCTGGTGATGCCAATGCTGCTGGTCTCCAAACCATACTTTGAGACCCACTGACTTCAGAGAACGCTTTGGAAGTTCGAGGCAGAATTAATTTAGCATGAAAGTCATGAGAGAGGTGGGACTTAAATGGTATGGACGGAAGGGGCGTGACTTAGACGCAGGGGCGTGGTTCTGCCTAAGGAGCTCTGAGAGGAGGGGCTTATGAGGGAGAGCTGGAGTTCTAGAGATTAGGGGATTGGAGGCGGGGAAGAACAGGGTACACTTCACGGGGCTGGGTCGAGGAGGAAGGATTCTGAGACGACGGGTGGGGATTATTATAATTAACATCTGAAATAGGCGTGATTCGGGGATCAGGGCGGGGCTTAAATGTGAAATTTACATGAGGGGCGTGGCTTAACCGGATGTCCGGAGGATGTGGGCGGTGTCCTAAGAAGAGGCGGGCGCACAGGACGCAGGCGCACTATGCTCAGCTCGCCCACAGGAAGCTGCCAGGTCTTCCCCCGCCCGCTGTCTCGTGCCAACGCGCAGGCGCACTTCCCCTTCCCGGTCGCCGCCGCCGCCTCCTCTTTCCGCTGCTCCACGCCGGCGCCGCGGAGACGGGCGCGATTTCCGCTTCCGGGCGGGCGGGCAGGCGGGCGGCGCGGGGCTGCCGGGGAGGGGGAGGGGGCGGCACTTCCGGTCGGGCCCTCGGGTCTCCCCGGAGCGGCGGCGCCTCCTCCGCCTCCTCGGCTTCCTCCCGGCGGAGACCCCGGCGCCGGTGAGTGACGGGGCGCGTGGCCCGGGGTCCCGGGGGCAACGTGGGCGGGGGGCCCCGCCCTGGCCCGCCCTGGTCCCCAGAACGTTCCCATCACTGCTTCTCCCGCCGAGCCCGCGCCAGGGACCCTCCAGTGACTGCTCCCCCAAAAGACTACTCCAGATATCTCCCCATTAATGCCCCCATGTAGGACAGCTGCCAGAGCGCCCTCATTCGTGGCGATGCCCCCAAGTGCTGCCAGGGCCCCCCACTGAGGCTTTCTCATAGGATCTCTTCTACATACCCCCCCCCACCCCGTCATTGCTTCCTCCAGGACAGCCCCCAAAATGCCACCGGCATTGCCCGTCCCCATGCAGGGCAGCTGCCCGTGAACCCTCCCTTTAGTATCCCCTGTAGGTTGCCTCCAAAGAGTGTGGCATTAGTGCTTTGCGGCAGATCTGTCTCCCATTATTTCTGTCTACACACAACAGCCCCCAAAGCTCCTAGCCAGCGCCCCCCCCAAAACGCCCCCTTCATTAGTGTAAAAATACTTTGCATTCTGGTCAGTGGCCAAGAATGCCTTCTTTCCTTCTCCAGTTCCCCCCAGTAATTCCCCTTGAGAATAATCCTTTCAATCACCGACACCCCTCCCCCCCCCCCCCCCCTAACCGCTCCCTCCAGAGTTGTGCTCTCCCACCCACATCCTCTCCCCCTTTAGGTAGAAATAGCTGCCAGTTTAGCCCCAGGCTCCCATGAAACACTCTCACCCCACCCTCCTCCGGGTCAGCTCCTGTCTGCCGTGTTCCCACAGAGCAGTGCCGTACGTGATGCTGTCTTCCCCTGCCCCTGGCAGCTCTCATCCTGACCTTCCACTTCTCACTCCCTTCTCCTGGACTCCCTGAGGAAGACTCCCAGCTCCACTAGGGCATGACTTCTTTTTTCCCTAGACATTCATTCATTCGCTCTTTACAGAATGAATATTCACTGTTCTAGGTCTAGGACGTACATCCATGAAAGAGAGAGACACACACAGTTTTTGTTTTGTGGGTCTTTACAGTCTAGTTGAGGAGACAGATCAAAAGCAAGCAAACAAACAAGACCAATGCTGTTTTCTGGGTTTTCTGAGTCTTATGAGCTACTTCAGAGGTGAAACCTGAATTGGCAGAGGCAACTTCGCCATGTAAAGATGTGGGTGAACTGTTCCAGGCATCCAGGCAGAGGAAGAGCACGTGCAAAGGCCCTGAGGTGGCCGTGATCGTGATGATCAGAGGGGTGGCAGGGGAGGCCAGTGAGGTTGGAGCAGAGGAATTGAAGGGAAGAATGAGGGGAGAGAAGGTTTGAACTCATAGGGCCTTAGAAGTGAGGGCACTGTGATCAGTCACCTGGCCTTTGTCACCTCTACAGAGCCCAGAATGTTCTACATTTGTTCATTCTTTCCTTTGTTCAACAACTGTTTAATGAACACCTATACACACTGGGGATGCAGCAGAGAACAAAACAGACAAAATCCCCTGTCTTGGTGGAGTGTATATTGCCAGTTCATGGGGCACAAAATTAAAAAGCAAACTACAAATGTTTGTGTGAAGAAAATACAGTAGGATAAGGGCATAGAGTTACAGGGGCTGTGGTGTCAGAGGGCATGGCAGGAAGGCCTCTTTCAAGAGATTCCTGTGATCCTCTTGTCACCCACCCCCAGAAAGCCACACACCAGAAAGTTACACCTGTGTGTAAACTCCTCTCTTGGACAGCTGTGGCCCACCAGGGGCTGCCTTACTGCTCCCCTCCCCCGAGAGTGAAATGGTTACAAGGATGAGCCCTGGATCCCACCAGCCGTCGTATCTCTGAGCAAACTATTCCCTATTTCCCAGGCTTCATTCATTCACTTATTTAACAAATACTTGAGACAGGCCCTGTTCTAGGTCCTGGGGATAGAGCAGTGAACAAAACAGGTACAAAATCTTGACTGCTTGGACCCCGCCTCCTAGAGTGGGAGCCCAACAGCAAGAAGACAGACAAACAGACCATATGGTTTGTCAGATCATGCTGACAGGAAAGGAGAGAAAGGAAGGAGGCTGGGGTGAGCAGGAATGTTGGTTTGAGTGACAGGTTACAGTGGTCTTGGAGCACCTCACTGAGAAGACAGCATCTGAGCAAAGACGTGGAGGAGGTGAGGGAGCGAGAGCCTTCCAGGCAGAAGCAACAGCCAGTGCAAAGGCCCTGGGGCAGGAATAGAGCTGGCACGTTGGTGGAGCAGCCAGGAAGCTGCTGGAGCTGTGGAGGTCATCTCTGACGCGCTTTAAGATGGTGTCACTGAGGGTTTTGAGTGGAGGAGTGACAGTGACATGGTTTGGCCTTAGTCCTCCTGTCTACTAAATGTGAACAGTAGTAATGCTTACCTCATGAGTCTGTTGTGAGGTCTGCTTGAGACAAGCCACATAAGACACCTAGTGCGGTGCTTGTTAGCATTCAGTAAATGCCAGTCGCTAGTCCTGGGGCTGAGTGCCAGGGAAGTGGATGGGGCAAAGTATCTTTCCAGTATAAGGTGGAGAGAGGGCTTTCCTTTATTTTGGAGAGAGAAATACGCGAAGACAGCATGGGAATTCCCTGGCAGTCCAGTGGTTAGGACTCCACTGCTGTGGACCCGGGTTCAATCCCTGGCTGGAGCTAAGATCCCACAAGCCACGCAGTGCGTCCAAAAAAGGAAAGATAGGATGTTGTAAGGGTAACAGCGCGTACTCTGGAACCCCACTGCTTGCCTTCAACTCCTGGCCTTGCCACTTGTTAGTGGTATGACTTTAGGAGATTAATTGACCTCTCTGGCCTTCAGTCTCTTCCTCTGTAAAATGGGGTTAATAATCCTAACCATCTTCTAGGGTTATTGGGAAGATTCACTGAGTCGACACATGTAAAGGATCTAGGAGGGTACTGGACATGTAAAAAGCACTTGGTCCAGTGTTACATGTTACTCTATGTTACTGCTATTGTTATTACAGACATAGAGTTTCATCACAAGGCAGCTTTGTTGTACCAGAATGGCCCACAGGTCCTGGCATCAGAGAGACCTGGAATCTAATACTTGCTTTCCCCTCCACTGGCCACATGACCTTAGGGAAATGACCCCCACTTCTCCTCAGTTTCCCTACGTATAAAATGGGTCCAGTAATGGTACAGCACTATTATGAGGCATCAAGGTGATGGTACATGTGAAACTGGTCAAACAATAAACACGAGTTGTCATGATTGTGATTGCGGTTGCTGTGGGACTCCGGCCCCTTGGGAGGGGTTCCCCCCATTGCACCACTCTGTGC